ATTGTAGATAGTCTTAATGACCCTCGTGTAGTAGATAGTCTTAATGACCCTCGTGTAGTAGATAGTCTTAATGACCCTCGTGTAGTAGATAGTCTTAATGACCCTCGTATTGTAGATAGTCTTAATTACCCTCGTGTAGTAGATAGTCTTAATGACCCTCGTATTGTAGATAGTCTTAATGACCCTCGTTGTAGATAGTCTTAATGACCCTCGTGATAGATAGTAGTCTTAATGACCCTCGTGTAGTAGATAGTCTTAATGACCCTCGTATTGTAGATAGTCTTAATGACCCTCGTATATGTAGATAGTCTTAATGACCCTCGTGTAGTAAGTCTTAATTACCCTCGTGTAGTAATAGTCTTAATGACCCTCGTATGTAGATATGTCTTTAATACCCTCGTGTAGTAGATAGTCTTAATGACCCTCGTGTAGTAGATAGTCTTAATGACCCTCGTGTAGTAGATAGTCTTAATGACCCTCGTATTGTAGATAGTCTTAATGACCCTCGTGTAGTAGATAGTCTTAATGACCCTCGTATTGTAGATAGTCTTAATGACCCTCGTGTAGTAGATAGTCTTAATGACCCTCGTTAGTAGATAGTCTTAATTAATGACCCTCGTATTGTAGTCTTAATGACCCTCGTGTAGTAGATAGTCTTAATGAACCTCGTATTGTAGATAGTCTTAATGACCCTCGTGTAGTAGATAGTCTTAATGACCCTCGTGTAGTAGATAGTCTTTTAATGACCCTCGTGTAGTAGATAGTCTAATGACCCTCGTATTGTAGATAGTCTTAATGACCCTCGTGTAGTAGATAGTCTTAATGACCCTCGTATTGTAGATAGTCTTAATTACCCTCGTGTAGTAGATGGTCTTTAAAGACCCTCGTATTGTAGATAAATCTTAATGACCCTCGTGTAGTAGTAGATAGTCTTAATGACCCTCGTGTAGTAGATAGTCTTAATGACCCTCGTGTAGTAGATAGTCTTAATGACCCTCGTATTGTAGATAGTCTTAATTACCCTCGTGTAGTAGATAGTCTTAATGACCCTCGTATTGTAGATAGTCTTAATGACCCTCGTGTAGTAGATAGTCTTAATGACCCTCGTGTAGTAGATAGTCTTTTAAAGACCCTCGTGTAGTAGATAGTCTTAATGACCCTCGTATTGTAGATAGTCTTAATGAAACCCCCGTGTAGTAGATAGTCTTAATGACCCTCGTATTGTAGATAGTCTTAATGACCCTCGTGTAGTAGATAGTCTTAATGACCCTCGTGTAGTAGATAGTCTTAATGACCCTCGTATTGTAGTCTTAATGACCCTCGTGTAGTAGATAGTCTTAATGACCCTCGTATTGTAGATAGTCTTAATGACCCTCGTGTAGTAGATAGTCTTAATGACCCTCGTGTAGTAGATAGTCTTAATGACCCTCGTGTAGTAGATAGTCTTAATGACCCTCGTATTGTAGATAGTCTTAATGACCCTCGTGTAGTAATAGTCTTAATGACCCTGTATTGTAGATAGCTTAATTACCCTCGTGTAGTAGTCTTAATGACCCTCGTGTAGTAGATAGTCTTAATGACCCTCGTGTAGTAGATAGTCTTAATGACCCTCGTGTAGTAGATTGTCTTAATGACCCTCGTGTAGTAGATAGTCTTAATGACCCTCGTGTAGTAGATAGTCTTAATGACCCTCGTGTAGTAGATAGTCTTAATGACCCTTCGTATTGTAAAATAGTCTTAATGACCCTCGTGTAGTAGATAGTCTTAGACCCTCGTGTATAGATAGTCTTAATGACCCTCGTATTGTAGTCTTAATGACCCTCGTGTAGTAGATAGTCTTAATGACCCTCGTATTGTAGATAGTCTTAATGACCCTCGTGTAGTAGATAGTCTTAATGACCCTCGTGTAGTAGATAGTCTTAATGACCCTCGTGTAGTAGATAGTCTTAATGACCCTGGTATAGTAGATAGTCTTAATGACCCTCGTGTAGTAGATAGTCTTAAAGACCCTCGTGTTGTAGATAGTCTTAATGACCCTGGTGTAGTAGATAGTTTTTAATGACCCTCGTATTGTAAATAGTCTTAATGACCCCTCGTGTAGTAGATAGTCTTAATGACCCTCGTGTAGTAGATAGTCTTAATGACCCTCGTATTGTAGATAGTCCTTAATTGACCCTAGTATTGTAGGGTAGTCTTAAAGAACCTCGTATTGTAGATAGTCCCTTTAAAGACCCTCGTATTGTAGAGAAGTCTTAATGACCCTCGTATTGTAGATAGTCTTAAAACCCTGGTGTAGTAGATAGTCTTAATGACCCTGGTGTAGTAGATAGTCTTAATGACCCTGGTGTAGTAGATAGTCTTAATGACCCTCGTGTAGTTTGATAGTCTTAATGACCCTCGTGGGAGTAGATAGTCTTAATGACCCTCGTATTGTAAATAGTCTTAATGACCCTCGTGTAGTAGATAGTCTTAATGACCCTCGTATTGTAGATAGTCTTAATGACCCTCGTGTAGTAGATAGTCTTTTTAGTATGATAATAAGATGTTATCTTCATTGTAGAATAATAAGAAAATATTATAACCTTTATATTATAATAATAAGGTAAAAGGACCCCAATGGAAATAAGTCACTCTGTCTGACTTTTTTGTGTTATCCCAGGTTCTCTACACATATGCTGCTATGTATGATAATTCTATGTAACTGTATTTGTGTATACCGGAATAAACTTACTTACAGTGGAACCCGGGTGTTTGAACTTAATTGGTTCCTAGTTGGTGTTCGTACTGCGAAAGGTTCGATGTGGGAAACAACATTTGCAAGGCTTTAATTATCATTCTCACACACTGGAGGAGGTTGAACTGACTCTTACAAAAGTCTCTGAGAGTCAGGTCAGTGTCAGAGGTCACTTCAAAGTTTTCTACAACTGAATTGTAAGCAAGTCAGCGCGTTGGGGCTAAAGCTCCCGCTTCACACACGGAGGGCCCGGGTTCGATTCCCGGCGGGTGGAAATTCCGACACGTTTCCTTACACCTATTGTCCTGTTCACCTAGCAGCAAATAGGTACCTGGGTGTTAGTCGACTGGTGTGGGTCGCATCCTGGGGGACAAGATTAAGGACCCCAATGGAAATAAGTTAGACAGTCCTCGATGACGCACTGACTTTCTTGGGTTATCCTGGGTGGCTAACCCTCCGGGGTTAAAAATCCGAACGAAATCTTATCTTATCTTATCTTATCTTCAGTAGACCATGACTCGGAACTTATTACGGAAATGGACCGCAGTAAACAAATGGACCGTAGTAAACAAATGGACCGCAGTAAACAAATGGACCGTAGTAAACAAATGGACCGTAGTAAACAAATGGACCGCAGTAAACAAATGGACCGTAGTAAACAAATGGACCGCAGTAAACAAATGGACCGCAGTAAACAAATGGACCGCAGTAAACAAATGGACCGCAGTAAACAAATGGACCGCAGTAAACAAATGGACCGCAGTAAACAAATGGACCGTAGTAAACAAATTGGACCGTAGTAAACAAATGGACCGCAGTAAACAAATGGACCGCAGTAAACAAATGGACCGCAGTAAACAAATGGACCGCAGTAAACAAATGGGCCGCAGTAAACAAATGGACCGCAGTAAACAAATGGACCGCAGTAAACAAATGGACCGCAGTAAACAAACATACAATTTGACGATGCAGTAAACTGGAACCGACAGTAAACTTTGTTATGGAAGGTGAAAATTGGTGATCATGGCAGCGAAATTAGCAACTTGTCTTGGATATTTTGAAAATATCCAAGTTCTCTGAAAATATCAGAAAAAGTATCATCGTGCTTTTTTTCCTTGAGTTTTTTTAATATCACATAAAAACACATCATCAATATCATCCTGTATGACGTGATATTAATCTTCACACGAATGATTTGTCATCATACTGACGGTTGTATGATATTCTAAGACTTTTGCTTATATTTTGTTTTGTGTGTTTTTTTATTGTTCGTCTTTGGGATTTTTTCTTAAATTCATATTCGTGTAAATGCTTTTGTTAATATCTTATCATCTGAGGACACGAGGTAGTGTTTTGTGGCAACACTGTTACGGAACATGCCCGATACGTGTTCTGTTACAGATATAACTGGATATTAACCTGTTCCAGCATAATTTAAAAGCTCTTCTATTTTCAAATGATTTTATTTCTAGCTTTCTTCATTTGTGTTTCAGTGTTCGTTAATCTTTTATCAGTTTTGCTTTTGGTTTCTTTTTTACGCTTTCCTGAAGTTCGTGTAAGCTGTGATCAGCTTCACTGTATATTGAGTCACTGTTTATTGTATATCATCTGTATAACACGCATGTCCTGCTTATCACCTAGTCAGTTTTGTAGGCTAGTTATGTAGCACTGCACCTGCTACATGTCAGGACCACGGTCCATTTTTTTTTTTTTTTGCCTGGCCCATGACCAAGTTCCGGGAGCAGAAAGACTCTCGGAACTTATCAAAGCCAGGATAACTTGCTAAAATAAGCCTAGTGTGAGTTCAAAGTTCAGAATAGTGATTACGACTGGTGGAAGTTACGAAAGGTAGTTAGGTTCATTATGTGTGAGACTTACGAAAGGTTGGAGGGTCGTCGTAACACAAATGAACATTGCGTTTAGTAACACCTCTCCAGCAGCCTTATTATTGTCATATTTAATTTTAACACTCGGTTCAGAAAAGAAAAGACAGAAATTTCAAAGAATATTTTTGACAAATAAGACATGTATATAATTAAAATAGTATTAATGGCTATTTACAGCATTCAACACTTGTTCGCAGCTCTCATTCTAAATAATTACACTTTTAACAATAAAGCAGTAAAAAAAATATTCTTAATGTTAATGAAGTTAAATTATTGGATAATGAATTATGTTATATCATCACTGATGCACTACTTTAACGAGTAGAGGGCGGTGAAAATTGCAACTCTGGGTGCTAAGCTTAAAGTCGTAAGTAGGAAGCTTACCACTGTTTGCTTGCATTTTTATTCACAAAGACGCTGTGTCCTTTTAGCTGAGATGCGCCGGGAGTGCCAAAAACAAAAGCTTGCTGAGACGCTGCCAGGGCAGGACTGCTGCTGCCGAAGGCCGCAGAAGTGTCTGCTGAAAGACCTCCGGTGCTGTGTGTTGTGAAAGTATTAAATGAAGGTCCCGTGGAGAATCCGGAAACTTGGGAGCTTCCAGCGGAGTTTCCTGACCCAAAGAATCTTGCTCCTCCTTTTGGTAGATTTCTTAATAGAATCGCTGGTACTCGAACTCCCTGACCAATGCCGGAACCAAAGGAAGCACCAAATCTGGAAGAGGTTGCAGCAGCTCTGGAGGACGCAGTCGAACTTATCGGTGACACATCTAATTTTGTAATTGAGCCACTTAGAGAGGAGGCAGCAGATGCGACATCGGAAGACAGCCCTAATCCCCCCACAGCTACTTTACTATCTAGTTGACCAACTGCAAAGGTTGCACTGGGAACGGGGAGTGAACGCTGAGTTATGAGAAGTGGTTGTTGAGACACAAGAGCGGAGGTAACAGGACTAATGCTAGAGCCAGATACGTCAAAGGAACTACTAATACCAGTGGAAGCGGCAGCATTACCTACGCTATTTGAACTAACAGTACTGCTAAATTTAGAAGCACCAAAGCTGGTAGAACTGACACTACCAGAACCAGAAATACCAGATACTGTTAATGCAGGACCAGCCATCAAAGCGGAAGAAACCGATTTACCTCTGGATTTACCTGCTCCGGTGGCACCAACGAAAATACCTGGACCAATTCCAGCAGATGCTCTGGATTTAGCAGTTGTCAGAAGAGGAGCAACACTTTCTCCTGTTCCTCCACTTCCGAAACTTATGGGCGAAGATCCAGCAGACGATGGAAGACCAGTCGCTTGCAAGCGAATATCAAAGTCCGTACTCTGTCCTCCAACATCCACTGAACCCAGTCCTCCAAGAGAGGCAATAGGGGCAGTATCTAGTTGCACTGATGTTCCAAGATTATTGTGGCCAGCAAAATTTAGTTGTCCTGCCGTTCCAAAAGCGCTGTGACCAACAGTATCTAGTTTTCCTGCAGTTCCAAGATTATTGTGGGTAAGGAGAAAAACAGGAACTTGGGTACCTGAAGCTCCCAGTGAGCCGTGAGAGCCAAGCAAGTTAGCCGTAACAAGTTCCTTTGACGGACCATCGCCTAGATTAAAGGAACCAGAGCCTCCTTTAAAACCTCCTGCTCCAAAAGCGTTTCCGAAGGCACCTGGATGCAAGAGTAAGATTGGCACTTGAGTTAATCCTTGAAATCCAAACGTGGCTCCGGAAGAACTGGAGGAGGACGACGACGACGCAGAAGCACTTGAGCCTCCAGCTGTAAATCCCCCAACAAATCCACTTGTTCCAGCAGGTCCAATTCCAGAGGTAACACCAAAGCCTTCGCTTGACCCGGCAGAGAATCCTCCAGCAGACTTGACAGTGCTTACATGACCGGCGCTACCGTCAACACCAAATGAACCACCATGAGCACTGCCAAACTCTCCAACACCTACAGTACTTAGAACTGCATTTGTGTCAACTATTTCTAATGCTTTAGCACTGCTGACTGCTGAGGCAATATCCCCTGAAGCCTCACTAAATCCTGAAGTTCCTCCACCAAATTCAGCTGTTCCTCCAAATCCAGCAGCTCCTGACGCTCCAGCTGACACAGCTTCAGCTGTCAGTGCCCCTGCAGAAGCTCCTCCACCTGTCGATACCCCGAAACCTGAGGTTCCAAATCCAGATCCTCCTGATGCACTGGTGGAAGTTGCTTCACTAAATCCAGCCTCTCCAAATCCACCTAATCCTGATTCTCCAGCCGAAGAGCTTCCAGAGATTCCGCTAAATCCAGCATCTCCGCCAAGTACAATAGCCTCGCCAAATCCAGCCACTCCAGCTGAAGACATTTTAGAAGATTTGCTAAATCCTGCCTCCCCGCCAAATCCAGCTACTCCAGCTGAAGAGGCTCCACTAAATTCAGCTGCATCTGATACTAATCCAGCTTTCAGTGCAGAGGCACTAGCGCCTTCCCCAGATCCGCCTTCTCCAAATCCAGCTGCTCTGGCTGAAGATGCTCCACCAAATCCAGCTGCACCTGATGCTCCAGCTGAAGAAACTCCACCAAATCCAGCTGCTCCAGCTGAGGAAACTACACCAAATCCAGTTGCTTCACCAAGACCAACTTCTGATGCTCCAGTTGAAGAGGCCCCACCAAATTCAGCTCCTCCAAATCCAGCTGCTCCAGCTGAAGAGGTTCCACTAAATTCAGCTCCTCCAAATCCAGCTGCTTCAGCTGAAAACGCTCCACCAAATCCAGGAGCTCCTGAAGCCCCAGCTGACACAGCTTCTGATGTCAGTGCCGCTGCAGAAGCTGCTCCACCTGTTGATATCCCGAAACCTGAGGTTCCAAATCCAGATCCTCCTGATGCACTGGAGAAAGTTGCTTCTCTAAATCCAGCCCCTCCAAATCCACCTAATCCTGATTCTCCAGCCGAGGAGCCTCCAGAGATTCCTCCAAATCCAGCATCTCCGCCAAGTACAATAGCCTCGCCAAATCCAGCCCCTCCAGCTGAAGAGATTTCAGAAGATTCGCTAAATCCTGCCTCCCCGCCAATTCCAGCTACTCCAGATGAAGAGGCTCCACCAAATGCAGTTGCATCTGATACTACTCCAGCTGTCAGTGGAGAGGCGGTAGCATCTCCCCCAAATCCGCCTCCTCCAATTCCAGCTGCTCCAGTTGAAGATGCTCCACCAAATTCAGCTGCTCCTGATGCTCCAGCTGAAAAAACTCCACCAAATCCAGTTGTTCCACCAAATCCAACTTCTCCTGATGATAGAGCTGAAGAGTCTCCACCAAATTCAGTTCCTCTAAATCCAGCTGTTCCAACCGAAGAGTCTCCACCAAATTCGGCTGCACCAACTGAAGAAGTTGCACTAAATCCAGCTCCTCCAGTTGAAGAGGCTCCATCAAATCCAGGAGCTCCTGACCACCTGACACAGCTTCTGTCCAGTGCCGCTGCAGAAGCTGCTCCACCTGTCGATATCCCGAAACCTGAGGTCCCAAATCCGGATCCTCCTGATGCGCTGGTGGAAATTGCTTCACTAAATCCAGCTGATACTGATCCGCCAGCTGAGGAGCCTCCAGAGAATCGACTAAATCCTACATTACCACCAAATTCTGCTGCTTCAGATGATCCAGATGAGGCTCGACCAATTCCAGCTACTCCACCTGAAGAGGCTCCACTCAATCCAGCTTCACCAGCTGAAGAGGCTCCACCAAATCCAGCTGTTACAGGTGAGGAGGCTCTACCGAATCCAGCTGCCCCAGCTGCCCCAGCTGAAGAAGCTCCACCAAATCCAGCTGTTAAAGCTGAAGAGGCTCCACCAAATCCAGCTGCTCCAACTGAAGAGGCTCCACCAAATCCAGCTGCTCCAGCTGAAGAGGCTCCACCAAATCCAGCTGTTCCAGCTGAAATAGCTCCACCAAATCCACCTGCTCCAGGTGCACCAGCTGAAGAGGCTCCACCAAATCCAGCTGTTCCTACTGAAGAGGCTCCACCAAATCTAGCTGTTCCAGATGCTCCAACTAAAGAGGCTCCACCAAATCCAGTTGCTCCAGCTGTTAAAGCTGAAGAGGCTTCACCAAATCCACCTGCTCCAGCTGCACCAGCTGAGGAGGTTCCACCAAATCCAGCTGCACTAGCTGAAGAGGCTCCACCAAATCCAGCTGCACTAACTGAAGAGGCTCCGCCAAATTCAGCTGCTCCAACTGAAGAGGCTCCACCAAATCCAGCTGCTCCAGCTGAAGAGGCTCCACCAATTCCAGCTGTTCCAGCTGAAGTAGCTCCACCAAATCCACCTGCTCCAGCTGCACCAGCTGAAGAGGCTCCACCAAATCCAGCTATTCCTACTGAAGAGGTTCCACCAAATCTAGCTGTTCCAGCTGCTCCAGCTGAAGAGGCTCCACCAAATCCAGCTGTTCCTACTGAAGAGGCTCCACCAAATCCAGCTGCTCCAAATGAAGAGGCTCCACAAATCCAGCTGCTCCAACTGAAGAGGCTCCACCAAATCCAGCTGTTCCTACTGAAGAGGCTCCATCAAATCCAGCTGCTCCAACTGAAGAGGCTCCACCAAATCCAGCTGTCCCAGCTGAAGTAGCTCCACCAAATCCACCTGCTCCAGCTGCACCAGCAGAAGAGGCTCCACCAAATCCAGCTGTTCCTACTGAAGAGGCTCCACCAAATCCAGCTGCTCCAACTGAAGAGGCTCCATCAAATCCAGTTGTTCCAGCTAAAGTAGCTCCACCAAATCCACCTGCTCCAGCTGCACCAGCTGAAGAGGCTCCACCAAATCCAGCTGCTCCAACTGAAGAGGCTCCACCAAATCCAGTTGTTCCAGCTGAAGTAGCTCCACCAAATCCACCTGCTCCAGCTGCACCAGCTGAAGAGGCTCCACCAAATCCAGCTGTTCCTACTGAAGAGGCTCCACCAAATCCAGTTGTTCCAGCTGAAGTAGCTCCACCAAATCCACCTGCTCCAGCTGCACCAGCAGAAGAGGCTCCACCAAATCCAGCTGTTCCTACTGAAGAGGCTCCACCAAATCCAGCTGCTCCAACTGAAGAGGCTCCACCAAATCCAGTTGTTCCAGCTGAAGTAGCTCCACCAAATCCACCTGCTCGAGCTGCACCAGCTGAAGAGGCTCCACCAAATCCAGCTGTCCTACTGAAGAGGCTCCACCAAATCCAGTTGTTCCAGTCTGAAGTAGCTCCACCAAATCCACCTGCTCCAGCTGCACCAGCTGAAGAGGCTCCACCAAATCCAGCTCTTCCAGCTGAAGCAGCTCCACCAAATCCACCTGCTCCAGCTGCCCCAGCTGAAGAGGCTCCACCAAATCCAGCTGTTCTTACTGAAGAGGCTCCACCAAATCAGCTGCTCCAGGTGAAGAGGCTCCACCAAATCCAGCTGTTCCAACTGAAGAGGCTCCACCAAATCCAGCTGTTCCAGCTGAAGCAGCTCCACCAAACCCACCTGCTCCACCTGCCCCAGCTGAAGAGGCTCCACCAAATCCAGCTCTTCCAGCTGAAGCAGCTCCACCAAATCCACCTGCTCCAGCTGCCCCAGCTGAAGAGGCTCCACCAAATCCAGCTGTTCTTACTGAAGAGGCTCCACCAAATGCAGCTGCTCCAGGTGAAGAGGCTCCACCAAATCCAGCTGTTCCAACTGAAGAGGCTCCACCAAATCCAGCTGTTCCAGCTGAAGAGGCTCCACCAAATCCAGCTGTTCCAGCTGAAGAGGCTCCACCAAATCCAGTTGCTCCAGCTGAAGAGGCTCCACCAAATCCAGCTGTTCCAACTGAAGAGGCTCCACCAAATCCAGTGTTCTTACTGAAGAGGCTCCACCAAATGCAGTTGCTCCAGGTGAAGAGGTTCCACCAAATCCAGCTGTTCCAACTGAAGAGGCTCCACCAAATCCAGCTGTTCAGTTGAAGAGGCTCCGCCAACTCCGGCTGCTCCAGCTGTGGAAGCTTCTCCAAATCCAGCTGATCCAGCTGAAGAGGCTCCACCAATTCCAACTGCTCCTGCTGTTCCGGTTGAAGAGGCTCCATCAAATGCAGCTGCTCCAATTGAAGAGGCTCCACCAAATCCAGCTGCTCCAGCTGTTCCAGCTGAAGAGGCTCCAACAACTCCGGCTGTTCCAGCTGAAGAGGCTCCTCCAAATCCAGTTGAAGAGGCTCCACCAAATCCAGCTGCTCCAACTGAAGAGGCTCCTCCAAATCCAGCTGATGAGGCTCCACCAAATCCAAAAGCTTGAGAGGAGCTTCGGGAGGAACCTTTTTCTAGTCCTCCAGCGAGTGCTCCACTCTGGCCCCTGGAAACTCCTTTTCTCGAAGAGCCTCTTGGAGCACCCGGGTCTCCTGCCACTCCAGATCCAATTACAACGATGTCTGTCGGGATCTCGTGGACGGTTACCTGAAACAAATGAGCATCTAATGTGTTTCACTATGTGAATGAGTGTATATTATTATTATTATTATTATTACTATTATTAAATCATAATCAGAAGAAGCGCTAAACTCCTAAGGGTCATACTGCGAATGGGGATGAAAGGCAGTCAGGTTCGATTAAGGGAATGGAAGCCTTTTATGCTGTATTAAGAAACCCTCATTCTGCTAGAGAGATGCCATGTGCTGGAGAAAGGGAGAGAGAGAGAGAAAGAGAGAGAGAGAGAGAGTGAGAGAGAGAGAGAGAGAGAAAGTGATGGCGGAGCGCTTTCCCATGAACATAATATGAACCTTGAACCAGTCACTGCAGTAGACCTCACCTTAAAACCTGTCTTGCCGTCATCAGAGTAGACAGCGGTGCGGACGACTCCATCGGCAGACAGGAGACTGTAGCTACCCTGCAGGACGCCGTCCTCCACATATTCAACGCGGTTCTGGTAGTTAGTGGTCGCGTCATCTTTAATCTCGAAGGCGAATTGGTAAGGCATCAAAGGCTGTCGAAAGATGGAGGAGGTATTTACACTCGTGCTTATCAAGGCCGTTCGATTTGCTCAAATCTTTTGTGTTTTGCTGGCTATAATTTTTTTCTCTTAGTAATGTTTATGTAAGGGCTTGAAGGCAGATCTGGTGCTGCCTGCGTAAAACTTACTAAGCCCTTGTCGCTCCACAAAGCCATTCTTCCTTACAGTACAACTTAGCAGAGTGTGTATTAAAAATATACATACGTACCATATAAAAAAACTTATACAGGGAACATTTCGCTCACCAGGAACATCCTCAGTTCACCAGAGAATAAATAAGTTCTGAAAATATATGTAATCCTGTAAGATTAACAGAACCAGAACTTTTGTCCTGAAGCTTCCGATGTTTCGTACGACTGTATTGCTAACATATTTTAAATGATTCTAGCCAGCACTCCTTTGTCTCCTTTCATGAAGTCCTTAAACCTTATTCCACTTCAAAAGATATCGGATAGCTTTTCTGTGCATGAGGCACGCATGATCATATTCATTAAGTCTTGTATCCAGGTCTCTCACTGTTTTGCTTTCATGGATCATCTCGTAGCCTCCACACGCAATAGCGTCCTGTAGACTATTTCTTTGATGCTGGTACTGGAAGCAGTGGCAGCTGTTGATTACATTGAAAATGACAAATCTTTGTGAGATGCGTTAATTTTAGGGATTCTAGAATACGTTTTCATCTGGTTTTACAATCGTATATAAAATAGTGGGGGGAAGTGAGATATTCTTGGCTACAAATCGTGAATGCCCAAAGAAAAAATTCGATGACCATCCCACGTTCCGTTCTACTATTATGGTCCGAGTAATTATGCATACGTCATCTTTATTTGTGCAGGATGCTGTGAAAAGTTAGCGAGTCGCCAGATTTGCAAGGTAATATTAGAGAAAGCGAAAGTTGTTTGTCCTGTTCTTGAAGAAATTTTAAACCATCAGTAATATGAAAAAAAACAGTTCGTATAGAGAGTACATTGACAAACAAATAACCTGACTCAGTGAAGGAAATGATGTTTGCTTACCGGATAGGAAATATCTGAACCATCACCATCTTCCGAAGACTCTTCGCTGTCAGAGGAATCTCCGCGATCACCTCCCGATCCACCACCTCTATCGCCGAGGCTTCTAAATCCTCCTCGCTCAAGTCCGCCACCTCCAAAGCCAAAACCTGGGTTTCCGATCCCTCCTGCAGGCTGAGGGAGCAAATATATCGGGCTCTGTCGGGTAGGGCGAGTATCTACGTCTTTCAGTACCGAGGCGGTAGTCGCCCCGACAGCCGCCAGCACCGTCACCAGCTGCAAGAAGCGTCAGAAAATAGTTAACGAAAGCTACGTAATCTGATATATAAACAAAGAAGGTATCCCGACTTATGAAATCGTAATGACACGAACGCAAACAAATCACACGTTCTGTGATCTGTTTGCTGTCGTGTTAATAACGATTTCGTGAGTCGTGATGGCGGCTTTGAAGGGATCTGAGCTGGAGCACGTCACAGCCACGCTGGTGTGGGATTCATCTGCAAAAAAAAAAAAAGTGCATTTGTGGTCACAGTAGTGGCCCTTGCTAACCTCCCCATGGTGCACAGAAATACACCTAGCTGTATGAAGCTTATTAGAGCCAGTTGGCCCAGTGGTTAACGCACTGAACTGTGAATTTTAGAACTCACTTGCCATGGGTTCAAATCCCATCCGTTCCGTGAAAAGATGGTATCTCTTTCCTGCATCATTCATTCTCGGCCTATTATTACTCTCCTTACTAAAATGAAGCGTAATATGAAGGTATAAACATGGCTAATACCGAGTTTCAGTGTTTTCTGTTGTTGTTTAGCCGTCCTTCTGTTTGATAATATGAGAAACAAAACATATTTTAAGATTAAAACTATTTTTGAGATCACTTGGTGACGTAGTTGATGATTATGTGGGTCATCGTTTAACTGTGACCTGGTCTCAGGCCAGCACTCTTGGTTGAGGCCCTGGTTATTCAGGCTGTGGGTGCTCCCTACGTGCATTCCGACGTAACCCCAGCTTATCAGAAGTCTTTGGAAGAAAGTTCTTAAGGCTCCATCTTGAAAAAGTTCCATCTTGAAGAGACTTCTTAAGTCCTCGTCTTGAAGAAATTTCTCAAGACTCCCCCTTGAAAAGACTTCTTAAGGCTCCCTCTTGAAGACAGTAAGTGATCTATTTCAAATTACCCCTTACATTTAAAGGGAGGGGATGCTTTAAAAGCCTTGAACCCTTTTTGCTTCTTGACACATCTTAAAGTATTTCTTGCACTCTTCTTTAACTACAGACATTTTATTTCTTTTTAATATAAAGGGTTACTTCTCTGCACGTATGTGGAATCAATTCCTCCAGTATTTTCCAAGTGTAAATTATAATATATCTTTCTCGCCTACGCTCCAGGGAGTACAACATAAATATTTTAGATTCTTAGGGATGCTATGTTTTGTTCACCCACTGTGATGATAGCATCGTCCTTGTTACTTTGATTAAGGACCACCAGACAGTAACTTGTATTATACGGTTTCATTTCTTTTACCAGTAGGCTATCCCCTGTATGTGCAGAATCTCACTGAAAAATAAGCGATTTTAATAGTGATTTTACCAGTGATTTCGTCCACTAGAATGCCAGCACATATGATTAAACAACGATGCCTATATATTCACACATGTGCAAACAACAGGAAGCAGAGAGACTATGTGAGTCGCCCTCGACCTTGCTGACAAATTTTCTGCAACAACTCGAAGTCACAATATCTGTATAAAATCAACAATATATATATCTTGAGGTAAAGCAGCCTCTTCCGAAAGACGCTCTCAACAGAAGATTCACAGCATAAATGTCTTAAAAAAGGACACTTCACAAGGCAGAGTAATTACGTTTCGCAAGAATGGTCACTTCGAGTATCCAGTAACAACTGCAAGCACAAATTAAAACTTTATGACAGATTACAATCCAATCCCGGGATGCGCTCGCGGCGGCCACACTGTGAAGTACCTCTTTCCACATTACGGCGCTGGCTGTCTCCGGAGCCCCTCAAGTGGCGTCTTCGGCTGCTCGAGAGGCACACACGCGATGATTGGGGAACCGGGGGGTATATATACCCTTCCCTGGGGACGAGATGACCTACTAATTGTGGTGCTCGGACGGGGGTGGGTGGCCAGCCCTTCTCCTGGCCGCAGCGCAGGTGAATGCCACCGCTACTGACCCCTCGTATTAGGCGTCGAGGAAGAAAAAAAAGAGTATGGCCATGCGGATCGTCTGGCATGTGTTCTGTAATGCAGTTTAGTGAAGTGGTAGCAAATACGAGAGGAGGCATGAGTGTGTGTGTGTGTGTGTGTGTGTGTGTGTGTGTGTGTGTGTGTGTGTGTGTGTGTGTGTGTGTGTGTGTGTGTGTGTGTGTGTATACTCACCTAGTCACCTAGTTGTACTCACCTAGTTGAGGTTGCGGGGGTCGAGTCCGAGCTCCTGGCCCCGCCTCTTCACTGATCGCTATTAGGTCACTCTCCCTGAGCCGTGAGCTTTATCATACCTCTGCTTAAAGCTATGTATGGATCCTGCCTCCACTACATCGCTTCCCAAACTATTCCACTTACTGACTACTCTGTGGCTGAAGAAATACTTCCTAACATCCCTGTGATTCATCTGTGTCTTCAACTTCCAACTGTGTCCCCTTGTTACTGTGTCCAATCTCTGGAACATCCTGTCTTTGTCCACCTTGTCAATTCCTCTCAGTATTTTGTATGTCGTTATCATGTCCCCCTATCTCTCCTGTCCTCCAGTGTCGTCAGGTTGATTTCCCTTAACCTCTCCTCGTAGGACATACCTCTTAGCTCTGGGACTAGTCTTGTTGCAAACCTTTGCACTTTATCTAGTTTCTTCACGTGCTTGGCTAGGTGTGGGTTCCAAACTGGTGCCGCATACTCCAATATGGGCCTAACGTACACGGTGTACAGGGTCCTGAATATGTGTGTGTGTGTGTGTGTGTGTGTGTGTGTGTATGTGTGTGTGTGTGTATGTGTGTGTGTGTGTGTGTGTGTGTGTGTGTGTGTGTGTGTATGTGTGTGTGTGTGTGTGGTGTGTGTTGTTGTGTTGTGTGTGTGTGTGTGTGTGTGTGTGTGTGTGTGTGTGTGTGTGTGTGTGTGTGTGTGTGTGTGTGTGTGTGTGTGTGTGTATGTGTGTGTGTGTGTGTGTGTGTGTGTGTGTGTGTGTGTGTGTGTGTGTGTGTGTGTGTGTGTACTCACCTATTTGTACTCACCTATTTGTGGTTGCAGGGGTCGAGTCATAGCTCCTGGCCCCGCCTCTTCACTGATTGCTACTAGGTCCTCACTCTCCCTGCTCCATGAGCTTTATCATACCTCGCCTTAAAACTATGTATGGTTCCCGCCTCCACTACTTCACTTTCTAGGCTATTCCACGGCTTGACTACTCTATGACTGAAGAAATACTTCCTAACATCCCTTTGATTCATCTGAGTCTTCAACTTCCAATTGTGACCTCTTGTGTCTGTGTCCCATCTCTGGAACATCCCGTCTTTGTCCACCTCGTCTATTCCGCGCAGTATTTTATATGTCGTTATCATGTCTCCCCTGACCCTCCTTGCCTCCAGTGTCGTCAGGGCCGATTTCCCTCAACCTTTTTTCGTAGGACAATCCCCGTAGCTCTGGGACTAGTCTTGTTGCAAACTTTTGCACTTTCTCTAATTTATTGACGTGCTTGACTAGGTGTGGATTCCAAACTGGTGCTGCATACTCCAGTATGGGCCTGACGTAAATGGTATACAGAGTCTTGAACGAATCCTTACTGAGGTATCGGAACGCTATCCGTAGGTTTGCCAGGCGCCCGTATGCTGCAGCAGTTATCTGACTGATGTGCGCCTCGGGAGATATGCTCGGTGTTATACTCACCCCCAGATCTTTTTCCTTGAGTGAGGTTTGCAGACTTTGGTCGTCTAAACTATATTGTGTCTGCGGTCTTCTTTGCCCTTCCCCAATCTTCATGACTTTGCATTTGGCAGGGTTAAACTCAAGGAGCCAGTTGCTGGACCAGGCTTGTAGCCTGTCCAGGTCTCTTTGTAGTCCTGCCTGATCTTCATCCGATTTGATTCTTCTCATTAACTTCACATCGTCCGCAAACAAGGACACTTCTGAGTCTATCCCATCCGTTACGTCATTCACATATACCAAGAACAGCACAGGTCCTAGGACTGACCCCTGTGGAACCCCGCTTGTCACAGGCGCCCACTTGGACACCTCGTCACGTACCATGACTCGTTGTTGCCTCCCTGTCAGGTATTCTCTGATCCATTGCAGTGCCTTTCCTGTTATGTGTGCCTGATCCTCTAGCTTTTGCAGTAACCTTTTGTGACGAACTATGTCGAAGGCCTTCTTGCAGTCCAAAAAAATGCAGTCGATCCACCCCTCTCTCTCTTGTCTTACTTCTGTCACCTTGTCATAAAACTCTAGTAGGTTTGTGACACAGGATTTTCCCTCCTTGAAACCATGCTGGTTGTCAATTATACACTTGTTTCTTTCCAGGTGCTCCACCACTCTCCTCCTGATGATCTTCTCCATGACCTTGCATACTATACACGTTAGTGATACAGGTCTGTAGTTTAGTGCCTCATGTCTGTCTCCCTTTTTAAAAATTGCTACTACATTTGCCATCTTCCATACCTCAGGGAGTTGCCCAATTTCAAATGATGTTTTGAAGATCTTTTTTAACGGTACCCAAATATCTTTTTCCCCCATTTTAAAGGGACCCCGGAGAGATGTTGCTGTCCCACCGCCTTTGAGGTGTAAGTTCGCTAGCAGCTTCTCACCTCCCCCTTTGGGTTTATTACCTCATCCAGCATTTGCGGTGCACCCCCCTGCCTTTTTTCCTGGAGCCCCTACGGTTTCCCCTGTAAATACTTCTTTAAATCTTGTGTTGACTCCTGACATACCTCTCGGTCTTTTCTTGTAAATTCCCCACCCCTTATCATCCTATTACCTGGCCCTTGACTGTTGTTTTCCCCTGATGTGACTGACAACCTTGGGGTCAGTCTTGACTTTCATGCAATGTCATTTTCGATGCCGCGGCCCTTCCCTTTCTTATCTGTCATATTCTTTCTAAATCTTGGGTAATCTTTTTTTTCCGGGTTTTCTCGTCTTCTGTCCCTTTTTTTCATTTCTAGTACACATTTTTGCCTCCCAAACCCCTTTTGGGTTTTAAACCAAAGGATCGTTCTGTTTTTCCCATTATTTCTTTTTCCCTTAGGCAAACCCTCCCTGCCCCCTTTGCTTTTGTTCCACATATTCCATCATTTCTTTTACTGGTTTTCCTGTCAGTTCCCTCCCCACTGAATTCTTAAAAGAAGTTCCTCAAGCCTGAGTAGTTCCCCCTTTTGTAGTTTGGGTTTTTTTTTCCCACCCTATTCCTGGCTCTCCCCCCACTTGGAGCTAAACAGTTCGAAGCACAGAACCCATATCACAGCTCCCGGGGGCCCTTTTTCATACATATACCTCGATGTCAGAACTATAAAGGTGATAAAAGGTCCCCCTTGCTTTTTTACCCTCTCCTCTCTCCTGGTATGTCTCTAACATGTTAGCTGATTTTTTCCCCTACCACATCCATCATCTTGGCCCCATTTTGGGGACCCCCAGGGGGGCTCATTTTTTCCCAGTCAATCTCCTTGTGATTGAAATCACCCAAACTATAACTTTGCTCCCCCCATGTGTGCTCTCCGGGCCACCTCGGTAGGTGTCCCATTGCTCGTTGCTCTCATCGTATTTTTCTCTTGGCCCCCTGCATTTCTTGGGGGGTTTAAAACATTACTGCAATTACACCTTATGTCCCCAGCGGGTTTTTCCCTACTAAGTAGCCCTTTTGGGCCCGTCCTCCATCCTTTCATTTTCTCAAACCCCCACGGGTTTTTAATGAGCAGTGAAACTCCTCCTCCCCCTCTCCTCCCTCTGTCTTTCCTGAGGTTTGATACCCGGGTGGAAAGATTGAAATCTGTTATTTTCTGTGATTTTTTTTTCTGTATTGCTATTAGTCGGGGGTGTTCCTTGATTCTTTCGTGCCACCCTCAACTTTTTTGGGTTTTTTCATCGCTTTTGTATACCACATTTCAACTTTTTTTTCTAAGATTGTGGTCGGGGAGGTGTATTGGGTTGGGAAGTGGGAGACCTGAAAAGGAACTATGGGGGGTTTTCGTGGGGGGGGAGTTTTTAATGCAGGGGGGGGGGGCATTGGATGTGCATGGTTTTTTGGTTTTAGATGTTGGTTCACGGGTTTACCTGGTTAAAGGGCTTCAAAGGAATTTGTGAGGGGGGCTGTATTTGATCTTCCTGTGTCGGGATCTCCTTCTGTTTTCCCCCACCCCCTCTCTTTCCTCCTTCGCCTTTGACCATCTCTCTCTTTCTCCCTTTTTCTGCTTGTGTTCTGTCGGGGTTTGAGAACACCCCCCGACCCGGGCATTCCCTTAACGTGCTTTCCCCCTGCAGGACCCGTTCGGTCGATTCTGCCTTGAAGGCCTTCACGGGCCGGGGTTTCTTTTTTTAAAAAAACCCCCCTATTCCCAAAAAATTTTCCCACTGGGTCTATCGTCTTTCCTTTTGCTTTCATGAGTTTTTTCAGTTTTTTTTCCCCCTTTTTTTTCGCTCATTTTTTCCCCCTTCAACTTCCGGGGAGCCCTTACACAAAGACTGCCTCACCCTTTTTCATTCTCCCCTGCATACCCCCTTTACCCCCTCTTCAATTTTTTTCCTCCTTGCGCTTTACTTTTTTCATTTCACTAGCTAATGTACTTGGGCTCATGGCCTTCCTTTTCCCTTCTGGGCTTTCCCTGGGCTCTGCTTGGTCTGTTGGGGCCTCACATAAGCTTAGCCTTTCTTTACTACAGTCCCACTTACTGACTTCACATGCGTTTTGCTCCTTCTTTTCCCCACAGTCCCCTTATTTTTTGGGGAGATAGCATCTCTGTTGTCAATCCCCCAAAAAGTTCTTTAGTTCTTAGGTGTTTTAGATTTTTCGTTCTCTTCTAAACTCTTTTATCCCGGCCCCCTGCTGCTTTGACTTGCACCTCCCACTTCCCGCTTTCCCTGTCTAACCTCTC